GCTGCTGCCGGCGCTGGCGCGCGAAGGAGCGGCTGGCCCAGACTGCAGGGGCCCCGCCCTGCAGCGGTATTTAGGTGCTGTCTTGACTCAGTCGCTAGCCATGAAGAGAGAAACAAGGTCCTAACGGTTCATCTTCTACTACGACAACTCCCCAACTCTCTCGCCGCAGCTGTCGGGGGCCCAGCCCCAGCGCAGCAGCAGCAACAGCAGCAGCAACAGCAGCAGCAGCAGCAGCAGCAGCAGCAGCAGCGCAGCAGCTGGCGGGAGGAGGGAGGCGCTAGCGGAGACCTCTTCACAGTTTCCTTAGGCCTTCTTCAGTTTGTTGANGCTGGCGGGAGGAGGGAGGCGCTAGCGGAGACCTCTTCACAGTTTCCTTAGGCCTTCTTCAGTTTGTTGAGTTGATATTAATATATGTTCTATAAAAGCAAAAAACCACAAACACAGAACAACATGTAGCATGCATAGAGAGACAGAGTTTAGTTTAGCCTGGTCTGTTGCCACGGTCTGTCTGGAGTTGGTGTTTATACTTCTCCCTGCGTGCTGTGCAGCCAGCGAGGAGACTGGCTCACAGCGGCCAAACAAATGCTTAACAACTGTCTATACACTTGGTGCATGCATCCAAAGCTGCAGTGGGTGCACTCCTAGGTGGGGTTGCGTTGCAGCTGCTGCTGCAGCTAGGAGTACTAGGACTCGTGAGAGAGCCGCTCCTCTCCGCACCATCCCCAGGCCTCTCTGCTGCTACCACAGGAACTCTGTGGGGTCGTGGCGATGCCAGCTGACTGCTAGAATCTCCCGCCTTATGTACTGCGACTATACAGGTGAGAGCCCCCGCGCACCCAGAGTCCTCGATACTACCTGAGGAGCATCAGTAGCTGCAGCACGGGATGACGCCAGCAACGAACCCCACCCCCACTGTTGGGCAGACCAGCACCTAGTCATCTAGACGTCATGAAAAAACACGAGCGGAAAGCTGTTCAGATGTTCTCCGTACAACCATCGAAAATTCAACTTCTTCTTCGTCTTACATAATATATGAATACACCTCTCGGCATGGAGGAGTGGCTAGGGGCTGGGTATCCCGTCTCATTAGGACGAGTGAGTGGCCCGCAGCCCATGCAGCAGATCACCTCTAGCGGGAGAGCAATCGCTGCAGCGTGCTTCCGCCTTTGCTGACCGTCCGAGTATGATGATCATTATCATAAAATGGAAAAAGGGGGACTCGTCGCTTCTATGTATGTAGGGTTTTGTCTTAAAATGCACTCGATGTACTCAATAACAAAGAGCTACCGGCGGGCAGGCCACCCGGTGGACGCTCTATGCACCGCATCGAACTCATCCCTGGCTCAGCCCCAAGCTTTGTCCCACGGTACAGACGACCCCCGCACCTTGAATAGGAAATAGCATGTATGTCTTGCTGCTGCTGCTGCTGCTGCGGCTGCGGTTGCTGTTGCCAACCGCAGCCGCAGCANTGTATGTCTTGCTGCTGCTGCTGCTGCTGCGGCTGCGGTTGCTGTTGCCAACCGCAGCCGCAGCAGCAGCAGCAGCAGTGTGTGTGTGCGCAGCCCGTCTTAAAGTGCACTCGAAGGGCTGCATATGCTGTTCGTACATCCTTATTAGAAGCGAATGCTCAGCAATCGTGGCTATATCTGCACCAGAATACCGCTTTTTGGAGGGTATGGAAGCTAGCAGAGAACCGTTGCGATGCATGCTCGGCTAGTTGAGTGGAATCCTTCATGGTTCTATCTCAACGTGATGCTCATACACATGACAGCGTGCTCATGTTCGGCCGGAGCATGCAGCACCTGCACTGCCGGCCGTGTTGGGATCAGGTTCTGAGGGCCACATGATCCCTGAGGCCCCGAACTCCCCTTAGACTGGAGTTTCTGCAGGGGAGTTTCTCACAGGGCGTGCCCTCCAAGTGCTACGTGAGAACAAGTGGCTCGTGAAGCAAAAAAGTTTCTTTTTTTTACGTAGGCAATTAGGTTCATAGGGCTTGGTGCCTCTGCTTCACGATTTGAGCGCAACATGGCGAAGATAAAAGCAACTGGGAAGCGGCCGCTAGCCCTCTAGATTCGAGCCGCTCAGAAATATCTCTGTCTCGCTTCGCTCTGCTGCAACTCGGTCTTTGAATTTGTTCTCATAAGTGCCCCTCTAAAGAAGGTACTTAAGAAGGGCAAACCGCTTGGTTGGAGAGAGTGAGAGAGAGAGAGAGAGAGAGAGAGAGAGAGAGAGAGAGAGAGAGAGAGAGAGAGAGTAGAAGCAACGGATACTTCTCCTAACTTTCTCCAAGGCGGTGTGAGTAGCAGGCGACTATTTGGTGGTGTTTCGACCGTTCGTTTGCTGAGAGAACAGCACCCCAGCCTGGGTGTTTCTGGCATTCGGTATTATGAAGAAAATTTTTGTCAAAAGTGAGATAGTCAAGGGCTAGAAGTGACGGTAGGAGTCCGATGAGGCTCCTGGACGCTGCTAGAGCAGAAGAAACCGCTAAGTTAGAAGGACCCCTAAGCAGTCTACTATGGGTTACATACTTGTCGGCATTCCTTATACGGTAGGCGCTTCCCGGTTCAAAGCTATCATCAATCTCTCATTTTAATGGGGAGGGGGTTTCAAGACTCCGGCAATAGAAAAGTTGTTTGGGGGCTCTGGCGCCTCACGCAGCGCCCCTTCGCAGTCAGCGACCCGCTTAATATCGACCACACCATGACCACCGCGAACCACCCAGAGGCACACTGCCGAACTGAATTCACCGACAGCACGCTTCGCCTGTGCTTGCCACTATTTAGCCCCGAAAATAATCAAACTGACTTCGCTAGAGCAGAATTGGTCTATAACACAGCAGTGCATAGTGCATTTATAACAGAACCGTGGCCCCCCCCGTGCAGCGGTTATCCTGGTTTTCTGCTTTACACCGAACAGTGAGCTCACCTGTTAAGCATACAGCGTCTGAATTCCATACACAGCTTGCAGCAGCACGGGAATGCATGGAGGAAGCAAATAAGCCTCAGGCAAAAATGAAGGAAACTGAGCTTCAATCGAGTTGACTTGCTTCTAGCAGACTCGCACGCTATCCGAAGATCCATGGCTCCTCTTGCGACCTTTTCAGTGCACCAGTCCCGTACGATGTAGCAAAGAACAAGACAGCAGCTCCTCTGTGTGGTAGAGTGCGGGCAGCATGGTGCGGCTGCCACTGGCGTGTGTTTTTTACCATCGTACGCTGGCTAGTAAGGGCCCCGTAGGTGTTTAAAAATTGTCTACTATGCGTGTGCAGCCAGACAGGGGTGTAGTACACTTGCATGGGGGGTTGTCTTTCAGCAACAGTTGCAGGCCAGCTCATCTCCGCCGCAGCCCCAACCCGTCGGCAGCTGTGCCCTGGGAGTTTGTGGGTTCGAGGACGGCCATTAGCTGGTTTTTTAGGATCTTCGTATTTCCAGTACTTTGGTGTTTTGACTCTGCTGCAGATCACGACAGCCCCTTGCTAAGAGCGAGGACTCTGGCGGAGACTGTGGTTGCACTGAGAGCAGCAGACAGCCGCCTGGTATGCTGGTGCACTTTGTTTCCTTGGCCCTCTCTACGGTGTAGAATTCTGTTTAAGTTTAAACTATTTAAATTCGTATTTCTGGGTTTTCTTGAGAGCTCGGTGGGGAGGTATCTCTACCCCGTAGCATGGTGTGTGTGCTCGTGTGTGTTCATACGTGCATTTCTTCTGCTGTACAAACAGCCCACAGAGGGCCAAGTAAACGTTCAACAGCTGCCTGTTATCTCCCTCTAAGCAGCAAAGATAGCTTTTATTCTGCATGCATGCAGGGTCACCTCGAAGCACAAGTTGCTGCGTGGTGTGTTGCAGCTCTTCCTAGGCCGCCTCCTGCCCCCCTGCTGCCCGGCGCCTACGCTGCTGCCGGGAGCAGGCCGCCTGGGGGCTGGGGGCGAGACCAGCTGCCTCTGAAATTCTTAGATTAGCTTTTGTTTACTCTCTTACAAATAGCAGCAGCAACAGGCTTATCGCTCCTGCTGCTGCAGCGGAGCAAGTTGCTATCGGTGTATATATATATATATATATATATATATATATATATATGCATGAATTAGATCACGGCAATACATTGTTTTTTTTTATTTATATGAAATAAAATAAATTAAATAAATTAAATAATTTTTATTCGCCGAGAAGTGTGCGTTTGTTTGGCGGAGTAACGGGGCTGGGGAGTCCAGCCCCAACCGTGCTGCTGCTGCTGCTGCATGCATGCAGCAGCAGCACAATTCTGTTCTTCTGCCTCTCATAAACAGTGATAAATTAGCTGCTTTTTTGTTTCTGTTTCTTATAAACTTCTTTTTTTTCTTTTCTTTTTTCTCTCTGCGGCGAAGCTGCTGCGTGAGCCCTCACAACCCCACATAGCGGCGGGGCCCTCTATTCATATTCCTGCTGCAGCAGCCGCTGCCTTTCTCTTCTTTTTGCCTTCAACTAAAACTCTTAAAGATGAGTACAGGTACGGCTGCATTCTCTCTGTTGCCTCTGAATATGTTTTCTTTGGCTCGGTGTGTCTCGGTGGCCTCTGCTTGCTGCTGCTGCTGTTGCGGTTTGTTTTTTTTTTTTTTTTTTGTTTTTTTTNTTTTTTTTTTTTTTTTTTTTGTGTTTTGTTTGTGCGACGAGTCTTGCGCCTTGGTCATTTAAATCATCTTTTCTCTCTTTCTCTAGCTAACGAGGAAATCTATGCATGCGCTTGTTGCCTTTATGTGGGAATGTTTCATGGCGAGCTGCATGCAGCAGCAGCACTCTGCATGCATGCATGCAGCTGTTGTATGCATGCATGCAGCTGTTGTATGCATGCATGCAGCTGTTGTATGCATGCATGCAGCTGTTGTGTGCATGCATGCAGGTGTTGTATGCATGCATGCAGCTGTTGTACACATGCAGTTGTTATATGAATTTGTTTCTTATATAAATTCCCTTGTTGCATGCATGCATGCATGCATGCATGTTTATGCTGCTATCGTATATACGCTATCTATATATATATATATAGTGTATATTTCTCTGCCGTATTTTCACACATAAAAAAAACACCAAAACCCCCAAAAAAAACCTATATAAACCTACCACCATCCTAAACAAGAAAGTAAACAAATACACCTACCTGTCCATCTATCCCTTTCTTTTTTTTTTTTTTTTTTTTTTTTTTTTNTTTTTTTTTTTTTTTTTTTTTTTTTTTTATATATATATATATATATATAAAGACCGCAAGTGGGCTGACTTTGAGCTGGAGGATGACGGAGAGCTGGGGGAGCTCGCGGCTACCCCCGGGGGCTTCGAGACCCGCCCAGACAGCGACGGCATAAAAACTATAACAAACTATGTACAAAACGCAAAGGGAGAAACACTCAAGGTTTGTTTTATTTTTTTTTTTTTTTTTGTTTTAGTTTAGTTTGTTTTAGTTTAGTTTGTTTTGTTTTGTTTTTGTTTTTTTTGTTTTAGTTTTTTTTGTTTTTGTTTTTTTTTTTTAGTTTTTTTTGTTTTGGTTTGGTGTGATAACAGCAACAGCAGATGTGCAGATGGCAACCGAAATAAACTGTTGCTGCTGCTGCTGCTGCTGCTGCTGCTGCTGCTGCTGCTGTTGCAGATAGTGAAGCGTATAAAGGTGACGCGGGTGGTGCACCGCATAAACAAAGCCGTACACGAGCGCAAGAACATCCCCCTCTTTGGCGTGGAGGCAGCAGAGGGGAGCGCAGGAAAGGCCTTCACTGTCAGGTCAGCAGCAGCAGCAGCAGCAGCAGCAGCAGCAGCAGCAGCAGCAGCAGCAGCAGCAGCAGCAGGAGCGGC